AATAGCTGCATTTTCGTCATGTGCATGCATGAAGTTGCAAGAGTGCTTTTTATGGCAGATGTTGGTCCAAGCTAGAGTGTATGATCACAAGATTGCCAATGTCCGGATCGCTGCTGACATAATCAGAAGTCTGGACGGAGAACAAGTCAAGGCTCTTTTTCAGATTCTGGGGGATCAGCGGCAAACAGAAGTGCTTCTTTCACACCTTCGACGTCGGATTCAGGCAGATGCGGATACCGTTGTTGCGAGACGTCTTGGTACGCTTCCTCCTTCTGCTCCTCTGTCTTCTTCTCTGCCTTCCTTCTCCTCTTTTCCCGCTTCTCCCCCTCCTCCTCCTCCTCCTCCTCCTCCTCCCTCCTTTCCCCCTCTTCCCCCTGCTTCCCTTCCTGCTCCTGTTCGTTTCCCGTTTTCTCCTTCTTTTTCTTCCTCCGATGTTTCTCATGGTTTTGATCGCAATGAAGCCGCACAGACAATGAATGATGGGTCCAACATTTCTCGAGCGGATCCTCACCGACGTGATGCATTACCCCGAAGACGTCAACAGAGTGCTAATGCTGCCCGACGAAGCAGATCCTTGAGTGGCTCGCAAGTCCGTATGAGATCCCGTTCACGATCTCGATCAAGATCAAGTACATCTGTTTCACTTGGAGGATCACGCCACATTAGGTAAGACTGCTGTCTTTGTTTGCTAAAATAGTTGCCGCGCTCTCTTCTGAATTCATTTTCGGTTGCTTGATTTGGTTGCTTGTTCTGTCAGCGTGAGAATGCGAAGTGTTTTGTGGCTCAATTCACAAGATGAAACGGACGGCAAGTATGGCGGCCCTACCCGCTCCTCCTGCGATGATCCGGATTCCAATAGCTGTACCTCCAGATATATGTACTGGAGGACGTGAGTTGAGCTTTTGGATTATGATGCCAGCGGATTCCACTATTGATGACTTGAAGAAGAAGCTGTGTCGGGAACTTGAGGAGCGCACGGGGATACCTCCTCGTTTGAACGCTTTCCAATTATGGCAGTTCGGATACCATTTGCCGTTTACTTCATCGATCTCCCGAGTGTCTGCTTTTCCACATGCTGCCCAGCCAGTCCGATTCGTACGAACATGGCCACACGAATCAGTGAGTTGGACTTGAGACGTTCATGCGACAATGGAACAAATGCAGCGTTTTGCCATGCGATCTGAAGATCGTATTGTGAGATGAAGTCTTAGGTTTGAGTAGATGTAAGCTCTGTGGTGCCATGTGGGAGCTCTCCATGTTGAATGACAAAATGCTGCAATTTGTCAGCACAAGACGTCATCTCATCTTCTTCTTCACCTGGATTCACCATCCAAATGAAGACAGACTACGTATTAGGTCCGCGTTCATTGACGATCTCAATGTGTGTCGCCTTGTTCAGCCATTGTAAAGGTGTGAGCGGGACTTGACACGTTAATGCGACAAGGGAACAAATGCAGCGCTTTGACATGTGATCTGAGGAACGTCTTGTGAGTGCTTTGATCATAGATTGCTGCAGGAAGTGACGATACGAGACTGCACTTTTTGCCCCCTTGGGGGCCTGTTTGTGTTATCCTGCTGTACATGCGACTTTCTGCATTCACGACCGTTTTTCATGCATTACAATTTTTCTTTCTTTCTCTTTTTCGTTAGATGCAGGGGGCACGGCGCCACAGTTCGAGCCGTGCCAACGAAGCTGAGAACTGTGGTGGATGCACTCAAGGACGCTTGAGTGTGTACCTGCAAAAAGCTGGGGCCCCTGAGCCAGCGAGATTAGCAAAACTGTTTTCTTCGAAGCAGGTTTACAGGTTTGATCATGTTTTTTGCTTGTTCCGAAACTTTGTACGGTTGCCGCAATCTGTCTGAGCATATCCATGAGAGCCTCTGCACTGGACGATCATGCACCCAATTAGCGACTTTATGTCGCCCTCAACATCAAGAAGGTGGGTCAGTGGAAGCCTTTCCAGTTGTGTTTTCCTCACGCTTTGTTTGAGTGCTGTTGCAGTCCGTCCATTCATGTTGCGCATAGGCCATGCTGAATTCATGTGTGCCGTCTGCAGCTGTGTTTGGTTATATAAGATTTTCAAAATGGTTGCACATGTATTGAACGTTTTTGAAAGACAAGTGAAGCAAATATCACTTCTCAGATTTTTTGCAAAACACATGATTAAAGAATGCACAAGAACAAAACACTTGCAAAAAAACTTTTCAAGAACAACACCATTTTCAAACCAATTTGACAAATATGTGTTCAAAATATTGTTCAAGTTTCAAGCAGTTGCAAAACAACCGTTCGAGAAATTGCACGGATTTCAAACAACTGAAAAACAATTGTCAAAACAGTTGTCAGGGCCAAAACCGGTGTCGCGGTCACGGGAGCTGTTTGAATACATTCAACAATCAGCTCCTGCTCGGCTTGCTGTAGCCTTTGGTGTTGCGTGGTGTAGGAGTTACCTGAACGCCAAGCGAAGCACTTCCTTTGCCGCGTCCGAAAGAACATGTATGTATGTTTGTATGTACGTGTGCATGGGGGTATTTGCGTGTATTCGTGTCTATGTGTTCATGTGTCTATGTGTGCATGTCTGTCTGTCCGTAGGTAAGTATGTATGTACGTATGCTTGTTGAGAATCGGGTGTCGATACCTCTCATGAGGCCCGGCCAGCTCTCATGTAATGAGCGCCAACCAAGTCCGTGGTTGAAGTTGAAACAAATCATGCCATTAGACTTCCGAGCTGGTTTTCCCCCATAGAGTTTTTTGTAGTGCATTGCCCTTCAAACTCGATGTGGGGAAGCCTTTGCACTTGAGGGCCTTTTACCTGCGCATAGCGTTTCGGCATGTCTGCATGAGATTTCGCAGCGTTTGCAGGTGCTCAGCTTCGACCGGTTTAAACATACCCAGCAAGTCATCCACAGACCGAAATCAGAATAGTGCGTGCAGCAAGCTGGCAATGGCACCTCAGTCACCAGGCACTCTTTGTCTGGTGCTGAGCTTTTGGTCCCTTTGGTGTTCCTTTGGGCTCGACTGCTGGGAGGGGGCCTTCACAGAGGGGTTGTGTTGTCACATGGCTTTTCCCGGTGCCGTCGGGAATGCTGAATGCTGGGATGATACCTACACCTACGAGACACAACGTGCCAGTAAGTAATGTTTCTTTTGTGCCTGACCTTTTAAGCCTGAAGGTCAGCTGTTTTTGGCCAGAAAACTGGATAAGGAGACGTGTTGTCAATCTCCGCCCACGGCTTCTGCTTCGAGCTGTTGGACTGCAGGCTTCACTCAAGAAGCCTGTTGTGGCCATGCTCCGCATGGCAATCCTGCATGTTGGGGTGGTGTGTACACATACGAGACATGTTGCCCGATGACGACAGAATTCCACGAAATTTGCTGGAAGGGCAATCGTGATGTGGAGAGGAGATGCTGCAATGCCGTGGCCGAAGATGCATTCTGCTGGCAGGGAGGAAACAGCTATGAGAGCTGCTGCAAAAGACATGCCAATTTAGCAAAGTCTGTCGCGGAGGTGCTGACCCGACCCAACTTAGAACTGCCTACGCGATCCGAGCATGTCTGCCCGAGTGGAGGAGGATTTATTGGCCAGAGCGTGTGTCGCCATCTTCAGCAAGCAGAAGATACGCTCAGACACGAGTTCGACCCTGGCTGTTGGGCATGTTGGGATTATGTACATACGCACAAGAGATGCTGCTTGGGCGTGAACCCTCAGACTATCGTGCTTCGAGAGTCTTGGTGCCTCGTTAAAGCAATAACAAGATGTCTTTATATCTTTGCAAGGTCAAATGTTAAGAGGATCTTCCGGTCGTTAGATCTACGGTTTATGCCTAGGGTTTCAAGTGTTGGCGGCGGCAACGTGACTTCGCAAGAGATGTGAGGTGAGGTCAGAGAGCAGGACACGAGCGCCGGGGCACCTCCGGCGCAAAGGCTGTAGATAACCCACGAGGCAAAGTGCCACTGCCAAGAAGGTGACACACCGTGGTACGAAGGAGTTGTGCGAACGGTGGAGATGCCCCAGAGGCCGCCACAAAGAAGTTGACAGCGAACCGTAGAGATATCACCACGGTGACGCAGCGGTAGCATGACGAGGTTGGCAACGCCGGATCGCATCGTCACCCAATGAGTGAACCTCACAGCAAGCAAGCAACTTGTCCTTGGAGTTATCACTGGTGTCCTATTCTGCAAACCAGCGAAAGGAGAACGCCGCCCAAGGGCCCAGCGGAACGGCGACGAAAAAGAGAGCATGAGAGAGCCAAGGAGTTATAAAAGTGTTAGACTTGTACGTTCATGTTCAGCTTCTGTAAGTTGCGAACATATCCGCAGGTGCTCACGGCATGGTGGCACTTTTCTCATCACCCATGGGCGGTATGGCGGTGACTGCTCGTATTTATGTGTGCGTCTCGGTGCTTCAGCATGTCGACGAAAATCTCTACTACCAGTTCTGGGCACATCGCTTGCCGACGACTTCGTTGGCGTATGCAGTTCTACGAAGGAGGCAATTGCAAGAATAGGCTGCTCGACATCCCTTGGTTCGGTCTTGCCTCAGATCCCTGCCTGAGATGTTCCCGCATGGGCTGCTTGCACGAGTCCGGCTGGCTCTTCGTCTGGGCGGCTTCTGGTTTTATTAGGGCTGGGAGAGCTCCAGTTCTGAGTTGCTTCCGAGTTGTGAAACTATGCATCCGAAAGATGCACCATGTAGTAAGTCCGAGAACCTAAGTTCCGCCCAAAAAAGTCGGGAACGTGACCAGATGCACATGCTGCAGGAAGATCCCTCCCACCCTGGTAGGAGGAGGTGCACCCTTAAATCAATGGGTGCAGTATCTCCTGAAGCTTCGGAGTGAAGAGGCAATGGGAACGCCGGTCAAGGATAGACACGCCTGCTTGCAAAATTGCACACAGAGTTTTCACTTCTGAGCACCGATGCCCCTTGCCCCTTACAAGACCAGGCCTGAGCCACTGTGTGATAAGACCAGAGAAAGACAACTGCTCAGCCATCGAAGCAATGCATGTCGGGCATGAGCTTTTCTTGTGGCTTCTGTGGGAAGCTGGCGCGCTGCCGCATGCCGAAAGCCCACTCCGGGGACCCTGCATGGCACCGTGGACGCTTGCAGGGTTGGGGCACTGCGAAGGCGACGTGCATGCCGATGTGCACTTCCAGCCTTTGCGAACGTGGTTTCCGGCTTCACTCACAACTTGCATTCGCAGCTGTGAGGACGCTGGCCGCAGTTGTGCTTATGCATCTTTCAAAGATGACAACCTTTTCAATCGTGAGGATGAGCGAACGGGTCTCTGCCTTCTTGCAGGCCACTGTCCTGTGCTTCGTGCCACGAGTTTTGGCGCTGCGACATTCACTCGCAGAAATGTTCTTCACACGCCGGAACACGGTGGCCCAAGACGTCCTGGGCGCGATTGGGTGACCTTGGCTCCCGCAGAGCCTTACTGTTCGCCGCGCTGCTCCAGCACGAGGCTGTGTGCAACTTCAGAGACCGTGACCGTAGCAGAGACTTGCAACTCACTGATGGATGGTTTGTTCCGATTGCATAGTGTGGCCGAAACATCAACATTGCTATCGCTGGAGATTGTCACCAGTGACGAGCTGTTGTTATGTGGGCGTGGTGGTGCAGTACATGCGGCAGCCACCTGCCAAACCTCCTGGGAGCTTGTGTACGATTTTCCTGCAGACGGAGAGACCGAAGAGATTTGGCTGCCCTGTGCTCAACTGCGGTATGCCGGGCGCTTCTTGGCCGTGAGTTTCGATGGAAGCCTAGTGCTGCAAGAAACAAGCAGTTCCTGCTGGGCAGTAGGCTTCGAGCAGAGGCGCTTGAAGGATCAGTTGCTGCATCGCTTGCCTGAAGTCTATGACGTCAACATGCACGATCACTGTGGGGAGGTGCCGAGCTTGTGGGTGCAGGCATCACCAGCCTTTCACTACATGCTGCAGGAATTCCTTTCCACGCTGCAGCATGCCGGCGACCCTGTCAGGGTCTGTGTCCAGTGGATGCACGATATGAAAGATGTGAGCAGACAAGGATTCCATATGGTGCAAGGAGCCAGTTTTGTGGATTTCCAGTTCCAGAAGTTGATGCTGCAGATCGAGTCTGAGTTGGTAGCCTCTTTAGCACCTGCAACACAGCAGACTGTGATTTTCTCAGATTTGGACGTGGTTGTTTTTGGAGGTTGGGTGAATGCCCTGTTGGAGTGCGTCACTGGACAAAGCGCAGCAGATGTTTGCTTCACACAGCGGGGAGGCTTTGGCACTAGCAAGCAGCAGCTCGTGAATTCCGGGGTGTATGCTGCACGCATGGGAAATGGAGCCAGTATTGCGTGTCTGTTAGCTGTGGCGGCGAGACTCCAAAACCAGGACCTGGTTGGTGCCGTTCGGACTAATCAACAAATTCTGAATTTCGTCCTTCGCGATGTTGCGCGTGCTTTGAAGACATCGAAAGCAACAAAGCCTTTGCAGTGGGGCATCTACAACCCATTGTTGGCATTTTCAGGTTTCGCCGTAACATCGACAGTTCTGGGGATAAGACTGCAGCACGTTACCGGGTCCACGGTATCCTCAAAGGACAAACTTCGCATGATGGACGCTGCAGTGCTCCTGCGCCATGACCTGGAGCAACTCTGTCCTCTCTACACCGTCCGCGGGCGCGTCGCGTTTATCGGTCCGCTTAGTATTTACTGCTACCCGCTGCTGGCCGTCGACCCTCACTTCGGTCATGTTGTGCAGCCGTTTAAGGTGCTTCAGGGCTTCGGAGGCGAGGACCTTGAACTCCTGATGGAGGCGTTGCAGACGGCGAGCCGGTTCTGGTTCAATCAGTGGTCAGTGCTCCTTGACCGTTTCAATGGGGAAGGAGGGTATCGACATTATCGGCAAGCACGACGGAACTCGTCGAGGTATATTTGTGCTCAAATGTTTGGAAGGTCTTGCCAGCGTTGATAAGACTCCGCGAATCTCCTCGACAGGGAAGCGAGTCGATGCCCTTGCTCTCGCGACGCGCGTGGATGCCTGACCAGGCGGGTGTCGGCCAGGGGCAGGAGTAAAAGCAAGATGGGCCGACCAGCGCCGTTGAAAGATGTCACGTGATGTTTCATTTCAATCATCAGGGTTCAGCTTGAGGCTTCATGCAAGTGTGAGGCTCTGTCCGACTCTTGAGGGCTCAGGTTGTGTTGACGCTCTAGGGCTTCAGGGGCGGCTCACACTCTACTTTTGCTGAATGGCAACATGTATTCTGTACGATTACAGAGCCGGCGGACACGCGGTGTACAAATTTGGGCACCTTTTTCCTTTACGAAAGTAACGCTCGCAATATGAACTATCATCCATGGCAACATGGGGCCTTTTTGCATCATACATGCAGCACGGAATACCTGCATAGGCATGCTTTTGCAGGTTTGGCTCAACGCGTCGTCGCACAGCTGCCAGAATCGATGGCCCTGACTCGGGCAGCGGCTGCTGTTGCTTGCCCTCTTGCACTGGGCACATCTGGGTACGTTGCCTTCCGCAGCTGGGGGATCCCTGGTGGAGCTGCTTCACCAGTCCCGAAGAAGAAGAGAAAGACTGCTCAACAGGGAGGTTGGAAAGCTCATGTTGCAAAGCCTCGCAGCTTATGAGGCGAATGATGGAGGACATGGACTGCAGTTGCTACAGTTTGCCAGGCCTTCTGATGAGGTGGAGGCACAGCTGGCAGACTGCTCGCGTCGCTTTGTTGGAGATGCAATGCCGTCGGGAGTCGTGCCCACCCACCCAGAACTTGGCGACAGTCCACGCTCGGAAGCCTGGATGCATGCCAGATGTCCAATGCACCTCATTGATGTTGGCGTAGTTGCAACTGGAGCGACGGCATTCTGGAGTCTCTTGCGGACCACACGGTTCCATGCAAAGGCCTTGAGCACGTAGAGTCAACATCTACCAAACTCGGGCAGATAGAGCAAGTAGATCCCCAAGACTCAGCAGAACCGGAGCACCGGAAAAGTCGGAGCGGGATTAAATTGACCCCATCTCCTTGCTTGAGGCAGTCACAGCAGCAAGAGATGAGTTCCTGGTGGTTGATGCAGGTGCATTCAGTGGCTTTCGGGCCCTTAAGGGGGTGAACGCTTATAGGAAAAATTCCGCAGACAGGTTCCTGCCACATGGTTCTGATCAAGCCCGATGTGTCCACAGCCTCTACCAGTCAGAGTTTGCTGCGCAATGACATCACGGTTTATGCAATGCCTCCACGCACCAGGCCTTTGCTACTGCATCTTTGCTTGTCTCCCTCTTGCGGGCTTTCGGGGGATCAACCTCGTGCACGTAGACAGTTGTTGAAAAATGTCCGACGCCTCCGCATGGAACGAACTCGAGTATCCAACGACGCTCGAGAACTTGCCTTGTGAGCCATGGGCTCGCTGCGGATGTCGCTTTCGCTCCACGTAGCTTCGTTCCCACACCCGACAGCCTAGTTGTGTTTGACAGTACGGTAAAGGGATCGCTCTCACACGGACATGGGATGGGATTGCTTCTGGATTTCTTTCTCTGTTTTGCAGGGTTTAGGGTTTACAGTTTGGAGGGCTTCATTCTCGCGGACATCTCTGGTGCCCAAGACTGTTCACCAAATCTGCAAATGCACTAGCTTCGGTGCAGCGATAAGTGCTTGCGGCGATGATCTCGATCAGCCTGCTGCGGGTCATCATGTAGGGCCAGCCGGGGACCCACATTGGGCCTCTAACGGGCTTTAGAAGGGGTTCTATGAGGGTTTGGGCCAGGGGCTTTAGGGATTCTGTACGTGCTCTATGTATCCATGTATATAATAAGGGGGTTCTTTAAGCTTTTCGTTACGAGGCCGTGATAAGGTTCTGTGGCATCACCCCCGCAGCAAGGATCCCGGGGCCCCGTTTTTCAGAGAACTGCCAGTTTATCCCTGTGAGGGGACAACGGAGACTCTAGTCATCTAGTCATGTTTTGGTTTAGGTGTCCGGCTGAGAGCTGTCAGCCTTACAGCCGAAAGCCTGGACTGAACCTCGAGAAGTTGCTTTTGGGACATTTCCCTGGAACCAGATCCCTGCGTTCGGAACCGCTGACCGTCCACAAGACTTGCATTCAACTACAATGAGAGACCACGTATGTCGGCATACGACGTGGTGGAAGCAGAAGGGCTCCTTGAACAACTACAGCAGCTTGGCGACATGCGGGACTTCACTCGAGATCAACTCTGGAATCTCGCAAAATGCCTCATGGCAGCGGATGCGCGGCCAACAGCGGAGGAGCTGCAGACATCAGAGATCATCACCGTGGATAATTTATACACGGCCCTGGTGCTCCCTGTAACGCACCGGATATTCCCTACACCGCCGCCATTCGGCGTCAGCAGGGAGACCATGCGGAATGCTCCGCCATCTCTCTATGTCTACACGTTCGCTCACGGCACGAACTATCAGGCGGCAGCGGACATACTCAAACAAGGCATCGTCCGCCCTACATCCGTCCCAGAGGATCCATCCAAAGCATGCGTCCTCTACGGGGCGGGGACACCGGGGGAACTTTCCTCCCATACACTGGGAGTAGTGGTTGGGCAAGTCATCAGGAAGCCCAGAGGAAGATCCGACATTCTGATATGCGGCTCCATATCAAGGCTGGAAACCCACTACAAGGCCCAATGGTCCTCGCTCGGCGAGGAAGCATACGTATGTGCAAGGAAAGGCGTGGTAAGAACGCCGGACCGTTGGGGAGTTCATTGTGCCAATTTTTGGCTTAAAGCCCGAGTCATTGTTGGCTACAATCGCTAACGCAGCAGACGATCTCGCGATGCGACAAAAAAGCCCAGCACAACACCTGCAACAGTTGGTTCTCTTTGCTGTTAATTTTTATGACGAAACTCACCGAAGGTGATATAGTTTTATTTTCCTGATTCAAAATTTTTGAAAGTTTGACTTTCAAGAGCCCGAAGTTTTCCCTTAATCGTTTTCCAATCCATGGAACGATTTGGAATCTTCCTTTGCCCGTGCAACATTACGGCTCCAGGGAGGGAGGTGGGAAAACCCCGTAGCTGGGCAACGGCTCAGTTTTTGTTGTAGCGGGGGGCGTGGTAGTCTGTGCATGCAGGACATCGTTCTTGCTATTCTGCTATTGGTAGGCAGAGTGCAGAGGCTCTTCGCAGTTTACAGGCTTTGGTTGCACGAGGCCCGTGGTCGCCTGGACATTGCTTTCATCCAGGTAGCAGGGTTGCACTCTCTGCTTCTGAGTTTCGGCAACAGGCTTGTGCGTGCTGAAGTAAACATTGAGGAGGCGAGAGGTGAAGTTGCTCGCACCATCTTCAACTTCAACGGCAGACTTGAGTCTGTCGAGGACGGTCTGGAGGAGGGCCTTGAAAACCAAGCCGGCCTCTTGAGAAGCTTCGGATTTCAGCTCCAGCATCATTACCGGAGTCTCTTGATTTTGGGATTCATTTTTGTACTTCAGATTGTGTGGCTTTGTGTGACACCATGTCCAACAGTGCACTGGCTGCAGCAGTCTTTGATGCCGGCCTGGAGAACTCTGCAGTGACGGCCTTGGTCTTGCCTTGGGAGCAAGGACGCGACGACTCGGCTGAAGCGGCAGTGCTTCCTTCCAGTGAGGAAGCGACCAGATCCAGCATTGCGAGGTTCGGTAGTTCGTCTTCAGAAGTGGTTTCCTTGAAGCACGCCGTCCCAGTGATGGCTAGGAAAGTGAGGCTTTGCGATGAGGACATGTTTGAGCTTCATGTCCAGAGGTTTGAGCTAATCCTTGCACACTCTTATGAAGCCTCGATTTTAGGGCGCAGCTTCCGAGGGGTAACCTTGGAAGCAAGGCACGCCAAGGTTAGGCTGGCACTTGGAGGCAAGGCGCCTCGCACATTGCAGAAGACGTATGACCAGGCTGCCAGGCTGGTTTCTTGGGCCGACTCAGAGTCGGTAAAGGCCTTTCCCATTGATGGGCAGATATGGGCAGATCGCTGAAGAGTTTCTCAGGCACCTTGTCGATTCAAGCGGTAAGCATTCGGTGCTCACTGGTGCAGTCGAGTGTTTTGCATTCTTGCATCATGTGCTTGGGGTTGACATGGAGCCAAATTCCTGCAGCAACCCAATTGTGCAAGGGATCCTTACGAAAGCCCGCTTGGAGCGGCCTGCGAAGAAGCAGGCGAGAGCCTTGCTTGTTGGTGAAGTTCTTGCTTTGGAAGCTTTGCTTGCGGATCAGTGCCGCTTGCTCATAGATCGGTTTTGCGCTGGAGCCTTCCTTTTCGCCCTGTATGGCCGAGCTAGGCTGGGGGATCTTAGGGTTCTCGATTGCTTCATCGCTGATCTTCTTGAGGATAGTGCTAGCGGATGTGGCTACCTTGAGGTCCTGTCTCTTTCGCATAAGTGCCGCAGTACCAGCAACAGCAAGGGCATGCGCATGCACATTGTGGTGCCTGCCAAAGGCATCGGTCCAACGTGCTGGGGCAAGGGCTTCATATCTGTTGCAAGGGAGCTGGGTCGTGACCTCACCAGCATTGCTTCTGGAGAGCCTTTGCTGTACCTGCCAGATGCTCATGGGAACTTCTCCAATGTGCCTGCTGATACAGATCGCTTTGCTGGCTGGGTGCTGGATCTGCTGTCAACGGTGCCAGCCTACAGCGGGGATAAGATTTCAGGGCATTCCGCAAAGGCCACACTGCTATCGTGGATGGGTAAGGCCGGCACAGATTTTGACACACAAACCCTTCGTGGGCACCATGTGTTGGTTGGTCGTAGCAGTGCCCTGACCTACGCTCGGGACACACAGGCAGCTCCAGTCAGAAAGTTCGAGGCGCTTATAGGCGACGTGCGCCGAGGAGTTTTCCTTCCTGACTCCACGAGGTCCGGACGCTTTGCGCCTGAGGAGCCTGCCAAGTCAGATGCTCATTTGGAGGGTGTCATGTTCAGTGCCAGAGATTTTTTCAAGTGCGGTTCCTACTCCTGCTGAAGGTGGTCCTGAGCCTACGTTTGCTTTCCCGCCGTCCCCGCCTCCTCAGCTTGATGACTCCTTCACCCCTTTTCCGATGCCTGGTTTCCTAGATCAAGCTGGTCAGGATCCTGCGGGTGATGTTGATGCCGACTGGTTGGGAGAGCGGGACTGGTATGCTGAGGCAGCAGCAGAAGGGCAAGAGCCACAGCCGGAGGATGATCCAGACTTGGGAACAGGTGCCGGGGACTGCGATGTTGAACCTGGTGGGAGCGAGAGCTCCTCTAGCAGTGAGTCGTCTTCCTCTGAGTCTGTTGATGAGAGAGTTCAAGCTTCTGGAGAGAGAGCTGGTGAACTTGAGCATAGAAAGCTCAATGAGTGCCTTATGTACAGGCATAAGACCACCAGGACGGTGCATCTGCTTCCTGCCGGAGCCTCATCGGGCCTTCCAAAGTTGATCATGGCAGCCTTGGTGTATCCACAGCGTGACCAGTGCCCCTGGGCACAGGCAGCTCGGCGATGCATGTGAACCAAGGTGTGACCTAGGCAGGGGGCTGATTGGTGCCTCTTTGTCGCCTGGGATGCGTTCTCGGCATGGCAGGAGCACTTGTATTTCTGAATCTGGAGAGCGTGGCAGGCTTCAGAGCGCCATGGGCGTGACCAGCACTCTTGTGCGGGCAGCCCGGACGCTCGCCGTGAGGCTTTACCTGACACTCGTCGCAAACATTTTGCCACACCCGCTCTGGGCTAGACGAGATCGTCCTCGGCTGACAGGAGTGCAAAAATCGCTGCGTGGGCAAGTCGTTCTTAGCCCTGCGTGATGTGCATCTGGACTTAGACAGAGGTTGGATGCAACTTGCGGCATGCCGCAATGAGCTGCGTGTTCCCCTCACTGCGTTTGGATCGTTGCTCCATGAGTGTATTTCAATTTTTGTATGATCTGGGTGTCATTGCAACTACAGAACAGCTGTGCAAGCGGAGTTTTGGCACGGTCGGCTTCTGCAGTCTCTGGCAATGGCGACCCTTCTGAAGAGTGAGGCTGCGTTCGATGAGCGGGCTCGTGAGAGCGGGCTACCTGATGAAGAGCTAGAGCGGCTGAAGGTTGCAGGGATCAAGACGATCTCGCTCTTGGCTTTCTCGACCAGCGCTCCCGGTGTTCAGCCCTCCGAAGATCAGCTGAGGTCACTCCTCAGGCCCCTCGCGCTTGAGTCGGTGAGTGTTGGAGTTGTGGCAGCGATCCGACACCTGATGTTTGAGTGCCAGACACTTTGCCCTCAGTTGAGGGCAATGAAAAGAGGATTGAGCTCGCACCGGCTGAGAGGACAACTCGGATTCTCCAGCAGAAAGCCAAAATGAAGGGTCTTACTTTGGTTGGGCAGCTTGAGTGTTCCTGCGCTTCTTATGACTATGTAGGGGCGATGATCGAGCAGGATAGCCCTATGTACTTGGAACCGCACCGTTTCGACACGAGGGCGGCTGAGGTCGCGCGTGAGCGCCCCGGTAAATAGCTTATTTTGGACCGTAGCCGCATTTCTGTGCGTGACAAGGCGGATAAGTGCAAGTGTGCAATACAAGATCCGCTGGCTCTCTCGCAAGCCCTGCAGCGAAGGGCCCTTGCTTCCGATCTCATGGGGGCATGCACATATGAGGCGATGCATGCCTGGCATTCTTTTCTTTTGGACCGGATGCAGCAGCAGGCGCCACCAGGCTGGTCACGCCCAACGATTGAACAGATTCTCAGAACCGACAGGGCTGGTTGGGTGCGCATGTCGGAACAGGGTCACTTCGGAGGGACTCGTCGGGCAATCTGCCCCTTGACGATGCTCTCGTGACGAGTGATCCTCATGTGTTATTCCATCTTCTGCCCCTCAAGAGCTCTGAACCCAAGCCTGAGAAGCCGGAGAAGCCACCAAAAATCACGCCTGGTGATCCGGACAAAAAGAGGAAGCCGAATAGTCCCAACAAGCAGGATTCGGGCAATAAGGTTCAGAAAGCAGGGCTTCCCGAAGAGCTGAAGAACATTGCTGGACTGCGGATGGCCACTGAGGCAGGCGAGAAGTTCTGCTGGCCTTTCAATTGTAAGAAAGGCTGTAAGTTTGCCAAAGCTGGCAAATCCTGCCGTCGTGGAATCCATGCTTGTATGCGTTGTGGCAAGAATCACTCGCCGCAGGAGTGCAAAGAGTGACGGTTGCCGTTGCCTGAGGCGGAATTTTCGGGTCAACCCGTTGTGACTCCGCCTCCTGCTCAGCCGGCTAGTGCAGCCAAGCGTGTGAAGGTCTGTCAGACAGGTGAGGCTTTGGAAGCTTCGCTTGATACTGCCCGTGACCCTAATTTTGAAACTACAGCCTAACCTACCAAAAAAACACAGCACCGCCGGTCCCGCCTGTGCGAGAACCTTTTCGCTCGGACCAAAAGCCTTCGCGGATGCGATCTGTTCGACCTGACAAGAGAGGCTCAGGGGGTTTCCAGGTGAATGCCCTCACGATTGTTGAATGACAAATCATCACTGCACCAATAGTATTGCGTCCCGATCACAGTACTCACACAGGGCTTCACACTGGTCTTCCTCCCTTCCTGAAAAATCCTACTGACCACACTGTCTTTCTCGATTATCGAGATGGGTATGGTATGGTCAAGGGCTGCTTGAGCGTAGACCACCAAACTCGTGGATCCTGGGGTTTCGTCAGGATATCTCCTAATTGCAGCCCGCTAGGGATCCAAGCTATCGGAAGCTTCTCAGTCCAGCGTTCTTCGCGGAGCGCTTGGCGTAGGGCAGCAAGGTCTATCGCGAGCCGGCGGTCGGCCGGAGTTCGAGGCACTCCTTCTCGGTGAAGATGATCATAGAGCGACCGGCAGTCGCTCAAACAGACCACCGGGAGTCTCGCTTCCTCGACTCGCACCAGCTGGCCTTGCACGAGGGTTTCGTACATCGCTCTCACATATTGCCCTCCTTCTAGTCCTTCGACGCAGGCTTGAGTCTCTGCGCTGAAGGTGCTGCGGCACACCCGTTGTCCAGCACGCGACTTCCAGTCGAGCACGGAGCCCCATCCACTGCCTCCAGAGATGGCGTTCACGTCCGCAATCATCACGAGTTCGCCCAGTTGCGAAGCCACCCTCGAGTTGCCTCGCTTCGCTTTCCTCCCGCTTCGGTGGGAGGGTGGACCTTCGTGTTGAAGGCCACTCGCTTTGTCGTCCTCGTAGAGCTCGAACTCGGGCTCGTCGTACTCCCCTTCGTAGGCATTCGCCCACGCCGCGTCGTGGTAGATCAGGAACACCGCCTGCTCGTCGATCACCTTGTGAAAGACGAGTCCCTCCTCGCAGTGCTCAATGGCCTTCTTGGAGATCCCGTTGGTGAACTTCACGTCCCCGTAAGTAGGACACTTTTGCAGCTGCTGCGCCATTGACACGGAACAGGTAAGATCCGGCCTCGACTGTGCAGACACCCAACTGAGCGCTCCAATCAGGCTCCTGTTGTCTGCCAGGCACTCGCTGTTAGCGAGGTCATCGTCGTTGACGTTCTTGGGGATGTCGACAAAGAAGAGCCGGTTCTCGATGTAGGGCTTCTGCCTGAACACCACGGTGTCTTCTCGGCAGATGATCTCCGACCCGAGGTAGGCGAACTCGTCCTCCTCCCATGAATCGACCGGGAATACTTTCGAGAGCTCGGCCTTCACTCCATCGCCGACCGACTTCGGGGCGATGACCAACAGGTCGTCGACATGCGTCCCGACGTAGGCGACCGGTGGTCCGGTCATCTTCTCCTCGATAACTTTCCTCAAGATGAAAATACATGGGTCCAAGGCACACTGGTCGAAGATGTGCTCGTCTCCATTGAGGTCGAGGGTGATTCCCTTGATTCCGGCTTGGAGATCGCCCCACCACTCGTGCGGGCTAGTGGCCAAACCGAAGATGTTCTTCTTGATCTTGACAAGTTGCCGCGGGTGGAGACCAGCAAAACCGGTGGACGGTTGGTGGAGGAAGAGCTCTTCTTTTCGCTGAAGATATCCGCCGGTCAAGAAGGCACATCGGATGTCTCCGGCACTGGCCTTCCAACGATCAACATCTCCAAGTCCGTTTGCAAGTCGTTGAAGCAAACACATCAGACCTGGGCGAGATAAGGTGGGTGCGTCGGTGGATAGCCCGTTGACCAGATCTGGGTCAGTGTGCCCAGCTATCACCAACCTCGCCTTGCACTTCCATGGGGTGGCTCCATCAGCTCTGCGCTTGGACCAGTTCTTGTCCTTGTACGCCCATCTAGAGCGGAGGATCCGAGAGCTGTCGATCTCATTCCTGATACGGTCGCTCTCCTCGACGCTGAGTGGTTCCAAGGCGTCGAAGTCGAGGTGTTCACGCCACTGGGTTTCCTCGGCTTCTTTGAACTGGTGACGGGCCTCAGCGGGGATCTCCGCCCATCTGAGCTCCTTCTCTTGGCGCTTTTCAACGCCGCGCTGGGTGAGCTCTTTCTTGGAGAAGTAGGCCTCGTTGGCTGCGTTCTGGTCAACGTCGATGTCTTCAGGTCTTGTCTTCCTCTTCAATCTCCGTGGTGGCGGGGCCGCGATGGGGATTGCCTCTGCTGCTTCCGCTTCGCTAGGCGAGTAGTCTGAGAGGTGGTCGTTCACGTCCATGAGGTCGTCGCTACCGAGCTCCATCTCCTCCTCGACACGCAACTTTTCGCCCTCGTAGGTCTCCTCTGCGTCAAAGTCCATCTCGAGTAGCTTCTCAACCTCGGCCTGGGCACCTTTGACGCGTAGATATTCCCCGACTTCCTCGGGTCCGGAAGGACGTAGATGTTCTGCAGCAGTGAGACGACAGCGACCATTCCTTGAAATCCAGTAGTTCTGGCCTTCTCTCCCGACAACTACAGCTGGCCCCGCCCAACGACCTCGTCTGCGGTTCTTGGGTTGATCCCAAAAGTGAACGCTTTCTCCAACTTCCATAGGCCGGGTCGTTGTCCTGGCCCTCTGGAGCAATGCCTTCCTCAAGCGGCTGTCACCTTGAGAATGATGGAAGGCGAGCCTTGCTGCTGTGCGAATCGCCATGGCTCGTTGGTATCGACTCTCGGGGGTAACATCCCAAGTGACCTTCTCGCCGCTGTCGGGGTCGATGAGGTCTTCTGGTAGTCGCGGGTGCCGACCGAAGACCCACTCGGTGGGGCTGTGGCCACACCTTCGCCGTAGTTCATTCTTTGCGCTTGACACCAAACTCGCTGCAAGCGACACCTCGTCGGCGGTGATGGAAAGATCGTGCCGTACTCGATCCCAAATGTTCTTCCACCATGCTCCTTGTCTCTCTGTGATGCCGGCTTGCCAATGGGCTTGCGCTGCTACATTCTTCACCGTGATGTTGTGCCAATCACACAGTCGGCAAATCCCCTTTTGTACGCCGCCGTCGAGGTCCAGGGACACCGTCTTAGGAGGCCCAAACGGTACTATCCAGTGGTCATTGAAGGCCTTCTCGATGTCCTCGCTGTCGAAACCTGACAGTGGCACAGCAATGTGGTACGACGTGCCCCAGTCGACAATCGAGAGGAAGGTGTGGCGAACGTCATCAACATCATGGTGGTGAAGCAAGTCGGCGCCGACGCAGTCGTTGAAGTCGTACATCCTGGGGGTTGCGCTCGGCCTCGCAATGCGGGGCCCGGTAGAACTCGCGCAACTTCACACTTCATCCCCTTTGCAGCCTTCAAGACAGCTTCTTCACAGCCGGCAAGTCGTAGATGTCGTACTAGGTCCTCTCGACGCGGGTGACCAAGGTTTTGGTGTAGTCGCCGAAGGGAGCTCTGGATGAGGGGGCTCACACCGGCCTCGAACGTGATGGCGCTGCCATCATGTCTCATCTCCCTCTTCTTGTCGGGGCCTTCTTCCTTTCCCTCGGCGACGAAGACTTGATGAGGTCGGCGATGATCTCCAAGTTGTTGTTTCCCATGGGTGGTCTTGCCAAAGCCGACCCATCTCTCTCCTTCCACATCACTGTAGCTCCAAAGTAGGTAGCTCGCGAACTCCTTGAGGACGAAGCTGGGATCACCGCCACGAAACACAACACTTCCTCCTCCGATCACCTGTTCTCGGGTGAGCTCGATGATCTCCTTCTGGTAGTCGTTGGTCATCCCGCCGAGGTTGATGCGGAGCTCTTTGGGGTTCACGGCCCTCACGAAGTGCACGGCGTCCTCGCGCCGATCTGCGTTGCCGTAGTCTTCCCAGCTCATCGGCTCGATGACGGCCTTGCCCAACTGCACCGCCTCATACGTAGCATCGATCCCACCGATCTCAAACATCACAATGGGGTCGTACTGCACACTGGGTAGCTGCTCCTTCATGAAGGACCCGGCTGCACATAGTAGCGTGGTCATCATCACGCTCAGCCTCGCAGCCGTGTTGGCGAGGTTGTTCCTGACGCTCTTCTTCGGGCGCCTCGACACAGGGGGTTCGGCAACTTCGCGGCGTCTGGGCAGCTGATATCCGAACCTCCTCAGAACCTTGCAGCAGTCTTTCCCGACCTTGAGGATCCCGCGGGTGGTGTGGTAGGTCATACTCCATCTGCTGCCTTCCCAATCACAGCTCGAATGGTAACAGTGCGGGTCGAAGGAGAAGAAAGCCTCCTTCGTGGATTGCAGGCGACCGGGTAGCCAGGCGCCTCCAGAGCTTCGCTTCCATGTTAGCCCGGCCTTCTGCGTGTCGGACTCGTTGATGTCCTTGTCTTCAACCCACAATTCTCCTCCTGCACTCTGGCCGAAACTACAAGAGTGATTGGTGCTACCTTTGAGGTTGTTGTAGTCCCGATGGATTCCGGCGGTCACGTCCTTGGCGACGGTGACCGATGTCCAGGTGTCTCCAGGCTCGAGCTTTGAGGCTGCGAAGGCGTTCAAGTAACGGCTCAGGTTCGGCCGCTCAATCGTCACCTTGGTGATGCCCTGCATTCCGCCGTGAGTGAAGAGCCCGAAGGTGAAATAGGCGTGGCGGTTGTTGCCGTCGGCCCGAAACGGATCACCTCGATCGTTTCGGCGGGGTTTGAGCTCGGATTGTTCGAGGATGTCTTGGAGGGTCGCGAAGCTGAAGTCGGCTCGCCCAAGAGCTACTTTGGCGAGCCGTTCTCCATGAGGAAGATCTCCGCAATCCCTTTCAGCATTCTCGGTGGCGAAAACGTGGTGCTTGTCGTGGAGGGCCTTTGCAAGGTCGCCGTCGACGATAAAGTCTTCAAAAACAACGGCAGCCCCGCAACATCCCTCGTGCGGAACCTTGTCCGCGCGGCCATCGATACTCAGTCCCGGCTCCCCCGCGGCCTCGCTTTGTCCTTCAAGACTGCCAGGCGTAGCTCGAGCTTCTTGATCTCCTCGGCGGTCTCCTCGTCCATCTCGTCCTCCATGAGGTCCTTGGTCTCCTTGGGGGACTGCCGCTTCGAACTCGATGGAGTAGCCCGAGGCGCCACCGGGAGCTGTTGCTCCGGACTCGGAGGCGGCTGCGCTCCCGGCCACGCAGTCTCCCAGGCGTGACTCTTGGGACTCGAAGTTTTGGGGTCCCAAGCGGTCTCCCAGACATGGCTCGGCACCGTTGCCCATGATCCCGTGTCCGAGGAGGTCGTCGGCGGCATCGCTCGTCGGCTCGTCTCGTCCTTGCTCTCCACGTAGCCGCGCTTCTTCTCCTCGTTCCTGTCCCACCATTGCGCGTAGCGGACGAGGTCGGGATCGGCATTGCGAGAGTTCTTCACCTCGTTGCTTGCCCATCTCCCGTACTGCCACGGGACTTCTCGGAACTCCATTCCCCTGTGCTTTCCGATCTTCATCAGCTCGTTGTCCGGGGTGTTGATGGAGTCCCTCACAAGACGTAGCAAATTTCCCTTCGTCACACGGTCCGGGAAATCGACATCCAGTTCTCTGGCCTTCACCTTCAACTCGTCCATGTTGAGATGGGAGAGGCGCTTCATCCGCTCGCTCGCGTCCTGGGCCTTCTGGGACTCCCTGTGTTCCATGATCACCGCCTTGATCTCTTCCGGGCTCCACGACTGGTGTACAACCAGTCCGAGGCGCACACACTCGCTGAGGAGCTGCGGCTTCGTCATCTTGCTGATTGCCGTAGGCGGAGTGCATGCTGCGCTGTCCATCGGAGGCGCGGAGCGGAATGTCTGAGGGCGGGTGCTCTTTGCTCAACACTGTCCTTCCGACCCACAACAGCGGCATGGGAGAGGTGCACGAAGTCTTGTCCCTCCATGTATCGGAGACGCTTTCAAGCCATCGTTCAGAACTGCAACACACAGCTTCCGTGCACCTGCAACTGCCAAGCGTAGACAACAGCATGCCCTTTAGCAAAGAAGACGAAGTGTTCCACAAGCCTGGACTAAACAAAGCTCTCCTTGGTGTAACATGAACTCTGATCCACGTACTCTCTGTCTCTATCCAGAAATCACCTCCGACCTCACACTGCTTCCACCAGGACATGAACGAATCACGGCAAAGGTGAGTTGAGGTGAGCATGACCTTAGCTTCTGGGGAAAGTTTCTTCTCATAGTACAGGTTGTAGAGGTTGTGGGACTTAACACCGGCATACGCAACTGCATGGACCGTGTATTGCACGCGGGGCTCCAAGCTCACATCTTCGACTGGCAGCACTGAGTTGAATCCATTGGCCGGTTTCGCAGGCACAATGGGAATGGCTGGGTGCCCGGATGCAGTGGAGAGCAACTTGAAGTTCGTCAATCCAACCTGCGTGAAATCTGCACATCCAACAGAGACATCGTAGATCATCCCCATTTTGGCAAGGACCGTCTTCGACAGCAACAAGGGAACATCACCCGGGATGATCGAAGCCCGAAGCTGCACAACCTTATCACCGAGAGAGAAGGAGAGGATCACACTGAACGACGAATAGTGGATGCGACCCGTCCCGAACTTATAGGCTTCACACTCCTTCGAGAGCTCGGGCTGGGCACCGTCCTCGCCGATGCGATCCATGTACTCCTGCAGCCACTGAGTTCCTGCGACCGTTCGGGAGCAGGCAGTGTCCGTAATGCCCAAGAGAAGCCCGCTCACATGCTTCACCGTCATGACCTCAGCTGGCATGGTGACGCACACCTCGCGGGGAGGAGTGGCGGTCTTACCGCCGGAGCCACCGCCGCCATTGGCGTTGTTGGGACATTCTTCATCTTTGTGCCAATGTCCTCTTCTCCCGCACCCAGAACAGAAGGACCTGGCTTTGATCTGCTTCAACTTGTCCTCGCGGACCTTCGCGCTGTTCGTTGCCGGGTCGCTCGGCTTGTTGCCGACTCGCCCGCCATCGCCGGCTCCGACGTCTCCTCGAAATCCACGTGCCTTGCTGTGTTCCTTGTACTTATTCTTGGCCGACTGGTAGGTGACATATGCAACAGCGACCTCCTCTGGCATAACCTCATCATCCTCAGGGGCTTCGCGCTCCGAGTCCTCGTTATCGGGGTTGTCGGTCACGTGGGCGGTGTATGGTTTCCGCCCGCCTTTGCCAGCAGAGGACTCCGAAGGCTTCCGCAGTCCCCGGTCCTGGATGATGGCGGCCTTCTGGAGCTTGCACAACGAGTAGACGTTCCCAACACTCGCCAGAAGGTTCAACTCAGCACCGTCTTCTAACTGCAGTCTGTCTACATATAGCCAAGCAGCGAAGCAGCGCATTCTTCAGGCAACATGCATCCGACTTCTTTCAGCCTGGCATACAAGCGGTCATATTCAGCATTGTAGTCTCGTATCGACTGCCCAGGTTTCCGGCGCAGCTTCCTGAACATCTCCGACAAGGCCTTCCCGATTCGCGTGACTTCCAGGTCGAGGTACCTGTTGCGAAGCCAACTCATCAGGTAGTGCACCCCGTCATCGCGACTCAAGGCGTCGACATTCAGCTCTTCCGCCGCAACCCAGGCTTTTCCAGTCAAGTGACGATACAACACCAATCCTTGTTGGCCTGGAGGTAGATAGGTCAAGCGCCGCCAAGCTTCAACTTGTCGTAGGTAGGACCGGGCAGAGGTCCCAACGTCTTCGTCATCTCCGCCCCCAAAAGTAGGCACTGACAGCTTCTCGGAAGGCCTTTGATTTCCTCCTTTGGTGCCGTTGACCTCGTTGGTGCCATGCTGCGAACCGTCGTCGCCTTGGGAGAAGTGGCGCCATCCACTCCACACGGGATTCCCTTTGCTGCCACCGCCCGAGGTGTGGAGGCGGGAATTACGATCATCTGCCGGTGAATCGTGCCATCCATGGAGTCTGGCTCGACCATCCGCCCAGGGATCACGCCAAACTCCTTCATAATCGCCTCGGCCGGCTCGGTAGTCGTGCTCGCCCTCGCCGTACTCGTACTGGTCGTCATAGCCATGGCCCGTTCCCCACGAGCCGCCGTGACGCGACGATGCGTCTGTGCTGTAGGCATCCCAAGTTGTAGCCCAACTCGCTCTTCGCTCATGGTCGCCGGTGTAGCGGGTTCTATTCCAGGACCAGTCTCCCCAACTAGCGCCGGATTCCCACCACCCGTCATCGTTCGAGTGGTCGTAGTGATCCCACTCATCACCCACTGGTAGGTGTCGCTCACTACCAACGGACACCCCTTGGTCAGAGGCGGCTGGTTCGTCATCGCCTTCAACAGCCGGCGGAGGATCGCCGGAGACTTGCGGACCGCCCGACATTGCAACAGCAAGAGCTACGAGCTAACAGGAGCGCACTAGGCTCCGCTACCAATTTGAAACTACAGCCTAACCTACCAAAAAAACACAGCACCGCCGGTCCCGCCTGTGCGAGAACCTTTTCGCTCGGACCAAAAGCCTTCGCGGATGCGATCTGTTCGACCTGACAAGAGAGGCTCAGGGGGTTTCCAGGTGAATGCCCTCACGATTGTTGAATGACAAATCATCACTGCACCAATAGTATTGCGTCCCGATCACAGTACTCACACAGGGCTTCACACTAATCCTTACCCCGCCGGTGCCCTGCGCTCATGCCAGCAGGATGCCCTAATTAGTCATGACCATTGCGTGAAACGACAGAGTTGCAAATTAATGGATTCAGTTCTGCCACTTGAACCTGCTTCGTCGCCTCCGGCCGAGTCCGTTCATCCTGCCGAGGTGTACGCTGGTCAGATTCTTGAGCTAACGCGTGCGCCTGCCCGCAGCGAAGTGTTGCACCTGTTCGACCTCCTTCCGAAGGACAAGCCCTCTTGTGGCGAGGGTGCAGGTCGAGCCTTTGCTTGTGGCATGTGCTGTCAGGGGCCCTTGCTGGGCCTCCGGGCCAATACCAAACGTTTTCCCTTGGCGTGCTCGGTGCTAGCTAGTTTTGTGAAGGCAGTTTCTCCGGAGCTTTAATTTACAACAATCAATGTTTTCTTCAATGTCAAGACGAGTCCGCACGTTGATGCAAACAATGCTCCCATGCCTAATCTTGTTGCGGGCCTAAGTAGTTTCCAGAATGGGCAAGTCTTAGTAGAAAGCCCAGGGGGACCACATGTGATTGAGACCTCTTCGGGCAAGCTTTCCGCCGTCGCGCTGGAGGTGGCTAACACCCATGCCATCTTTGATGCTTATCGCCTTCGACATGCCACTGCTGCCTGGCACGGTGATCGTGTGGTCCTTGTCGCCTTCTCGGTGCGCAATGCCTGCATGTTGAGCCCATGTGATCTTTCAACTCTACAGGAGCAAGGTTTTGCTCCCAACCTTGACCCCGTCTGCTCCACTGACACTCCGCCTGTTGTGGAGCCACCAGTCAGTGACATAGTGCCTGCCGGCTGGTGCTGCACTGAGACTTCAGGGTCATAGCCTTCAGTCGATGCTGTTCCTTCAGGTTTTCTGTGGCGCTGGCCACTTGGCCACCGCGGTTAAACGTAAGGGGATTGGCCAGTGCCTTGGCATAGCCTCGCGTGTCACTGGTGCCACTCGATGTCCTGTTATTCTCCCGCTTGATCTCAAAAGTGACGAACAGCATGAGCTCTTATGGGACGCCCTCAGTCGAGGCAACGTTTAGGGCGTGCATATTTCGCCGCCTGCGAGTGGCCCGCAACTTTGTGAGCTGTCAGCCCGGATCCTGAAGCGGTGCCACAGCCGTGGCATCCTCGTCTCGGTTGAAAACCCATCTGCAAGCTCTGCGTGGCAAGGCCCCCTCGGCAAAACTTGCCTTGCCTTGGGCCTCCTTAAGAACTCATTGCACCAGTGCATGTTCGGGGATCCGTGTGCTAAACATTCCACTTTCTTCCACAACTACCCAGAGCTTCGCCGACTAAGAATTGCTTGTGATGATTCGCGTAGTCATGCCCCTTGGCAGTCTGGTGCTCTGCATGTGTACTCGCCTGACCTGTGTGATGGATTTGCTAGAGCATTGCTCGGCTCAGGTTGCTGCTGCTATGCAGCCGAGGGGAAAACGCATTCCGCCGATCGTGCCGCCTGTTGCTGGCACTGTGGTGCTTCGAGGATGCGCCATCCGGCACTTAGTGACAATAGTGGAGCCGAAGCTGTGTGTAACAAGCTTTACACTTCTAAGACTCCGCTTAATCTTTTCGTTCGCAAGCTTTGACTGGCATCGCCTTGGAATGCAGTCACATCGCGGGCGAGAAGAATGACGACGCCGACTTTCTCTCCCGTTGGGATGGCAGGGCGGCGACTTTGCCGCAGCAGTTCAGAACTGAGGACAGATTCCAAGTGGATCTGCCCGCTTTTTGGAACATCGACTTCTGTGTTTCACCCTTTCCACCGGACTCTCACCTTTTGTGGCAGCTACCAGCCTCGTACACTGGGTCCATCCTCGGAGTCTTCTACTAAACGAAGCTAAGGCATAGCCTGCCCCTCCACTCGATGATTGAATCTGGGGGATACTGCGCGGCTGCGAGTTTCGGTTTGCCAGTTTCTAGCCCGGGCATTTAGACTGCCAGCTGCCAGCTTGCTTCAGATCGGTTCCCACTTGGCCAAACGCGTCGGGAGCGAAGAACCGCAGGCAGCCACTTCCGGCAAGCCGAAACAAAAAGCTAACGGTATGTGAGCGAGTGAGGGTTCTGCGTCAGTCATGTTGCAGCTTCTGCTTTCCGCTTTGCACATGAACTCACACTCGCTGTAGCCTTTGCTCTCGTGTTGGTTGCGTGGTGTAAGACTTACCTGAACGGTTCCTGTGTTTGCTCAGGGGTTTTGGTTAAGTCTTCTCCCGTCGCCCCGCTCCGCTCAAGCATCCACACCACAGCAACAACACGGCTGCTTTGCATAGCTCGTTTTCTTTTCCCGCCCACCCTTACCAGGGCGAGAGCACCGGGAAGGCCTGAAAAACGGCACTTTCTCGATCTGCTCAACATTTAAGCTGCAGTGCCCGCACGTAACCAGCTGTTTGCTTTCCTATACTTCTTACGCTTTTGCTTGAATCTTGTGCACATTCAGCTTGCCATCTTTTACACGTCCACGACGGGCTTTTAGACCGCCAGCTGCCAGCTTGCTTCAGATCGGTTCCCACTTGGCCAAACGCCTCGGGAGCGAAGAACCGCAGGCAGCCACTTCCGACAAGCCGAAACAAAAAGCTAACAGTATGTGAGCGAGTGAGGGTTCTGCGTCAGTCATGTTGCAGCTTCTGCTTTCCGCTTTGCACATGAACTCACAGTAGCCTTTGCTCTCGTGTTGTTTGCTTGGTGTAAGACTTACCTGAACAGCCTGAACCAGGATGTGTGGTCAAAGAAAGGATTTGAAAGCCGCCGTCACCCTTGTGAAATGGCACGGGTCTGCAGCCGAAACAGCACCGGATTGTGGCAACAGAACGATTCTGGTGCAAGATGCCAGATAGTTACTTGTAGGAAGTACAGTGATCGGACGGTGCCACAGTCCGATCTGTTCGATCTGCATGTGTTTTACCACACCGTCCTTGTCGGACATCCTGAGGCTGGGAAACTGTCGGGGAAATTGCTATCGGTGGGTGCAGGCCAGCATGGGTGCGCGGAGTTTGTGTTTGTGGTGAAGGGAATGCAGTACTCTTCTTTTGAGATGACCAGACTAGTTATCGGCGAAGTGTGCGTGTTAACCGTTGTAGCCTTACGCTTGAACCTCCGGGTCGTTTTCGTTGAGCCTCTTTCATGCATGCATTCAGGAAATATGTAGTCATCGAAAGGTCCAAGTAGTTATGGGAGGGTCCAAGCTACAGAGGCAGGTGCGAGAAGGCGCTTGTCACGCAGGGTTCATTCAGAAGTGATGTGATGTGCAATGGTGATTTGCGGCCATGAATGCTTAGATCACGGGGTTTCTGTCAAGCAGCAACACACTTGCATAGTTTCTTGTTTCGTGCCGCACAGTGCATCCCATCTTTGTTTGCCTGACCAGGCGGAGCACTGCCCGGGAATGCTGGTGTCGACTAGGGGCAGGAGAGAAAACAAGATGGACCTACCAACGTTTTTGCAAGATGTCGTGTGATGTTGCACATCAATCATCCGGGTCCAGCTTGAGGCTTCATGCACGCATGAAGTCGTAAGGGTTTGCCCTTCCTCCCTACCGCTCTTCAATGCAAGGTTCAAAAAACTTACTGGTGACATTTAGCGCATTAAGAAGCTTGAAGCTATTCGGCACTTTGATATTAAGGGCGTGACTTTTCCCAAGACCACGGGGAAGCTCTCCGAATTGCAGGTTGAGGAATCAAGAGCAGGACAGTTCGGGTTCTGTAATGCACGTGGCAGCATCCCATCGTGGCAATGTGCAGCAGCGAGCATTGCCAAGCCTTGGAATACCCCCGCACCAGCACTGTTTTGTTGATGAGCCGCCATGAAGAGTCCATGCGCTTCTGTGGTGGAGGCGCGGGCCATCTCAGCCGGATTTCAACCCAGATCCGACTGATCTGCTCGGAGTTCTTGCGCCTCGCTCCGTCGTAAGGCCTATGCTCCGACCGCGAGCTTGGCCACGGCCTGCGACTCGGGCGGGGAGGGACGCCAAGAGTCGACAGCAGCCGACCGAAGGGGACAGCGAACGGCACCCCGCGAACCTCCATGCAGACTTCTGTCACGCATGTGCTAGCCGCTGCTAGCCGCAGAAACGAGTAAGGCAAGGTGTTCACGTTGAACCCATCGGTTGTGCAGAACTGGGAACAGGATGGTTGGGTCGATCCCTGTGCACTACTAGCTACGCCCACAACCATCCGAAAGAGTACTTTCGAGCTCAGATGCTTCCCCTTTCCTGGCAGGGCTTGTCTTTCTCGCCACAAGTTCAGGCGGGTGAGCTCTGCACGTGTCTGCACGTAATCCCCAACGACCCCGACCCCACTATTGCATCGTTTGTATTACATCGTGTTCGGGCTGGCCGTTCTGAAAGCTTGAAGGCTGGGGTGTTTGTCCCCAGTGCTATCTCCGTATCTGAGGGACAAGTCATCCAGGTATGAAGGCTCTCAACCTTCCCAGTTCTAGATGTTTACAAGCCCGAAAGTTCAGGACCGCCTGCCTCGCCTGCCCTAACAGGTCCCAGGAGGAGTCCCAGCAGTCACCACGGCCGGGTTGCTACAAGCTTTGGTGCCAAAGCGAGGCTCGGGGCTTTGCCAAATCTCCCTGCTATGGTAGGGCGCTCTTGGGCTTGGGCTCTGACTTCACGACTTCGTGACTTCGCCCTGCCTTCAGGTCATTTTCCGGCCACGATCGTCGGTAATCACTTTATCTTAGTCTCCCACGTTAATTTTGTTTTTCATTCTCCGTCTCATCATGAATTCGCGGAAGTCGGGCTTTCGATCTTTGAGCTTCAAGTTGTGGAATCTCTCGGATGTCGAATATCGTAATTTCGGATATCACATAATGTGCCATATTCCGCTGTTCTGACTTTTCATGGGATGTTGGACGTCGCAGAAGGGATTTCGGAGCGTTGGGGGACTTCCGATCTGCTGCCAACCACAATTCTGAACGCTGGAGGCGCGCCAGGCCCGGCCAGAGGGCCTGTGCCGGCAGGAGTTCCCAAGCAGCAGCTGGAGGCGAGCTTGGGTTCACGGGCAACAAGACGGTCCCACGGTGCCCTCTTGCAATATGCGGAGTTGCTGGCTCCACCAGGCACACCCTTGCTGAAGGGTTTGCATACTGCCCCCTGCATTCACTCTGTGAGTCGTAACGACATCGCTCACATGTGACACCTATTGCCAGCATTAACTTTGCGGGAACGATGGGCTCCTTTCCGGTTTTTTTGGCCAGGCAATGGCCAAGCGCTTGGCCGTGGAGGCACAGGCGCAGTCCCCCCCTCCCTCCGATTGACGATTCTCTGTTCGGTCCCGGGGCAGCCCGGGACCCACGGTGAGAGAGCCGCTCTCTTCTTCGTTGATGTGATTGTAATACATGTGTTGGTGTCAGAATCAGAACTCGGATCACAGCGGCGGCAACAGCCCACAAAGCATAATTTTGAGTGAAAGATGCTGGGAAACACGCTGCATCCCACAAGACCTCCTGACAGACCGGCATACGCGTTTGGAAGCCAGACAGCAGCCGACCCTCCTGGAATCTCCTGGATCAGCCAAGATTACTTCCGCACAGCAGTGCAATGCACATCCAGTTTTTCTGCGATATGCAGACAGAAAACGAAACCTTTGTTCTCGACCACGATTACAGTTTGCAAAGGTGTCTCTGGCCCGTACACCTGCGAACAAGAATGGCCGCACCCTGGCAAGGACATTGATTGAGCAGGTGTTTACCGCTAATGGATGGACAGGGCCGCATGGCATAGGTTTATTCCAAAGCCCGCTCGGGATGCCTTCGAGTTTGCTAAGGTCCTCCGATCCGCCCGTGCCCGGCACCAGCTCCGGCTTCGAGCGGGCCCAGCGCCGTGGCAACCGCCTCGCCGAGTGTTTCCGGGAGCCGGAGGCCCAGGCTGCTCGCTGCGTCCCGCTGCGTCCCACTCCCCCTCGCATCTCGGCGTGGCGATGCGTGGCGGCATGCTTCCACGAGGTTTGAGCCACGCCACCACGCCTTCCTGGCGCTCCAGGCCGAGCCAGGCCTGCACAGTGACTAAGGCGTCCGTGGGCTTTCTTGAAGGCTGTTGGAGATATTGTCGCAGCACATCGGTCAGCGGAAACGGCGCATCACCATGTGAAGTACAAAACGGGTACTAAGAAGCGCACTCCTCAAGCAGGAGACCAGTTCGCGAGTTTTCAGCTGCCATCCACGGGCTGCGAACTGTGCCTGGTGAGGCCACACCATCTGCAGCCAGCCAAGGCCGAACTTTTTACGTGAGACTCCCGACGAGACACGCTCGCAGAGATCGCAGATCGACAGAAGTACATTTGCGCAGCCTTGTGCAGCAACATAGGCACCAGCATGGTTTCGACACGGAAGCATTCCCTTAAGGTTATGGCATGCGCAGATGAGGGCTCAACTCCAATCTTGTCCCTGCGACCCATGCCTTTCACCCGTAGGAGCATTCCGACAAAGCTTTGACATGACAAAGCCATACAAAGCCCGACCCCCCTGCCCAACCAGTCCCACCGGAACAGAGAGCGACGTCGCGCAGGAACATCGGAGATGGCTTGCAAGCCTGCAATGATGGCAGAGTCCATAAGGCGCCGCGGGGTCTTACGGCCTGTAGGGAGCTACCAGTTGATGCTGGAGGCCACGGCTGTCGCCGTTGCTCGAAGCTCGCTGGACCGTTTCGGCCGTCTCGCTTTACGAGGGCTCGGGCCACCTTAGGAAGGCCTGTGCAAAGCTTCACAGAATGTATTGACTTAGCTAAGATAGTCGAAACACGACGAGTTAGACAGGGCTTCGTGTTGATGCGATTCCACGGCAATGCTTCAGAGCTGCACTTGCAACATTGCTTCGGGCATGACAGGTCGTTGAGGAGCAGCGTTACCGGGGAGTCCCACAGAGCGAGTTGGATCGGCTGGATCGGATTGATCCTGAGGTCGACGAGGCGCTAAGCCTCAGAGTCTTTCGGGCTGGAAGGGTTGCTCATTGGCCGCCATGACGCACAGAAAGTGTATAGAGTGCACAACGGTCTCAGAGTCTCCTTACCTGGTCGGAACATTGATGAAGTTACAACATCAGCTCAGAGTGGGAAGCTGCACAAAAGCAAAAGCATTCAACGTTGTCTTCTTGCCTCTGATTCGTCCAACAGGTGGCGACGGCAGAGTCGTTGCGAAGTCATTGTTTCCATAGCGTTCGTCTGACGTTGTCCAGCCATTTCATGCGGATCGCCTGTGGCCTCTCATTGCATCGCTTGCTTGCTAGTAATGTTATGATTGTCGTCATCACGCTTGGCACCGCTATCGAGTCTGCAGATACTTCAGGAACAAAGTCGCCACGGTGGTCAGAGCTTCGTGAGCACTTCCCTCGCAACTCCATGTACATCCGCCGACCTGTAGGCACCAGCATGGCTCCTGTCTATCCCATTTGAAACATATGTAGTATCGAAGCTTCAACATTCAGCAGGATGATGAATGTCATCGCCACCATTATCGCCGTCATCATCGACATCATCATCATCATCATCATCATCATCATCACCATCATCACTATCATCACTACCATCACCATCATCACGATCATCGCCATCGCCATCGCCATCGCCATCGCCATCATCATCATCATCATGCCATAATCATCATGTCATAATCATCATCATCATCATCAGCGTCATGGCCATCATCATCAACATCGTCACCAATGTCATCATCATGGTCATCACCATGGTCATCATCATGATCATGATGATGATGATCATCATCATCATCATCATGACCCCGGTCATCATGACCATGGTCATCATCCTGGTCATCGTCATCATCACATATCATCCTCCTAGATCTCCTAGTCATGCTACCAATACTCGGAGCCATTACGAGACTAATATTTTTGTCTACGAAGCCTTCTTGTTTATGACCACTGGTGCTCCTTCTGGGAGACAATGCCCGAGCCAGGCGAACGCCATGCTGGTGGAATCTTTCCTCAACGTGAAGCGCTCCCTTGGGGCGGAGGCGGGCTGGTCGCGAGTGTCCAAGCAAATCGCGGAGCGGAGGAGGTTGGACAACTGTCGAGCCGTGATGCTACGGCTGCGAGGCTCTTGTGCCGCATGTTCCACCGACCAGCTTTGCCAAAGAGTTCAATGCAAAAGAGCAGCCAATCGGAAATCCTGATCGACCTTTCATTTGAAGGCTCTGTCCGACTCACGCAGAGAGCCCTCACGGCACGGCACCTCAGAGGGCGCGTTTCTTGGGCCCTCGTACACAGTTCTGACAGTGGGCTTAAGGTGATCTTAGCATGAAGCTTCCGTGGTGAGGGGTGGACTTGTGGAGCGTCGGAGACATTCCTGCCAACCCTCGAAAGAACAGTTCGAAGCCCTCTGATACCTTCAGTCCAAAGGGCAAACCCATCAAGGGCGAAGGGATTGCGACAGCGAGGCTTCACGTTCCCATCTAGAAAGCAAGCGGTCCTGCAGCTCAGTACTGGCTGACCCCTTGCTGAGTCACGCGCAGCTTCTGTTTCTTCTATGAGGCTGTTTGCTTATACCGATTGCCCGTTTGGCTCTGCCGTGATTGTGCTCTCGCGGCATCATCCCGACTTTGCTTTTAGATTTCTGAGGCGGGGGTCCAACAATGTTGACTCCGACCCAGGTCATGCCATGCCTGGCTTGCTTGATCAGCAGCTCCGGAACATTCTGCAGCCAAGTCGATATGCCAGAAGCCACATCCTCGTGCCGCTCTTAAGGTCAAGTGCCTCGCGTCTTCCTGTGCCTCCGCACGGCAGTGACAGCTCGCATCCCAGGAATCCAGTCACTGTGAAGTAGGAAATGAGGCCGCTGATTCCAACTCATGAATGTCCGATTGCAGCTGCAACGGAGCCCTGCAAGCCGCCTGGGCTGGGTGTCGGGCAGTCATGTGCTGGGGAGCTTCGAGGTGGTACTAATGCCGCGGAAAGCAAGGTGTCAATAAATGCTCCAGTGAATCTCCCTGACCTGCTTTGTGCGCAAGCCTCGTGCACGGCTCTGCTGTCATAGTCTAGCACTCGACGACCGCAAATCCTAAATCGCGACCTCAAGAACCGCGTCAACCCATTAGATTCTGCACCTTTGCGTTGCGCCCGAGTTCCGTGCTTGGGTTTTGTTGAGCCAGTATGAGGTGGACTCCAAAACGCAGGCTACCAGGCAGGATCGGGCTCACATGTGAGGCCGCATCTGCAGTTCTGCTGCAATGTAGTAATGACATGCCCTTTTTCTTGCACTCCGATGTTCCGGGCTGACTGCTGCGAAGTGCAAGATGCATTCGGGAAACTGGGATACTGTGTGGATTGCCAAACAGGATATCCAGGCAAGCTGTTGTGGGCATCTGGACTGCAGAACCACTGTCCAAGAGGTTCTGTGCAGCCTATCTCCAGCTCCTCCACTGTGCGATCCACTTGACAGCGCTTACTCATGTAGCACAGGTGCCGACAGAAGCGGTTTTTGACGAAGTTCGAGGTTTCATGACGAGTTCGTGAACTTGCAGCGCCGGGTGATCTGATAGAAGCCTACACTGTCTTTCTTTGCAGCAGTCCGTAGCAACAACCTGCTGAGCAGCAGTAGCCTCGCGAGAGACCCTTGGCGACGCTTCTTAGGTGGAGTTGCAGCAGTCTCTGCGAAGACGCACAGCCCCAAGGAAAAGCACCAACCCGACCAGTCAAAATCCGGCAAGCCGGCACCTTGTTAGTGTTTGATTTCTGCACACGAAGACTCCGAGGAAGGCTCGAGCTTCAATCCGCAAAGTCCTTCAGCTCGCATTTTAGCAGATTTCGCCTGTCAATGACAACGTCTCGTGTGTCTGAAATTGAATGCCAGGTTGGCAGGATGTTTCACCAGAAGTGCGAGTTGCCGAATTTGGTGCTACGCCTGTCGCAAATCAGCTTGGATCGCAATGGGCTACATCTCGGAAAGTTGGGGATCCTAAATCAGAAGCCCAGCAGGCAACAGTTTCCACATAGACCTATGTTGTTACTGGGCTCTCTTCCGTCATCCGGCTTAGCTGATTGCTGAACAGGCCTAGGCCTAGGTCCCACAAGACAGATCTCTTATATGTGAAGGTTTGGAGTTGCTTGTTCTTCGGGGAGAAGTTCAACAGTGAGCTCAATTATTCCAAGATCGGCACAGTTGCCTATCGTCACGGCCTCACAAATCTGCGGGTGATCCCTGCCACCCGAGGACTGCTTGCCAGAGCAGCAGCGTATACATGAGGCACTGCAATTGGCAGAGGAGCTCAGGTAAGGAGAGTTGCGCAATGAGATCATCACAATCAAACTCATCTCGTGCAAACAACTCTGATATGATCGTAGATGCAGATAGAAGATCGGAGCCGGCCGGTGATGGTGATGACGGTGATGATGTGCTATTTTGATGATGATGGTGATGATGATGATGATGTTGATGATGCTGCGGATGACGCAGTGCAAGTGTTTTGGTGCTTTCTTGGACTGTTTATGTATACAAGGGACGGAACTATGGGTGAGGGCTGCAATTGAGAGGTGTTCAGCGCCCTGGCACCCTGGCATGCACGTCGCATTGGATCGAAGGAGAATCGGTACTCGTGCATCCGACAGCCCAAACTCTAGAAAGTGTCGAAACCCCGGTGAAGGCCGTGAGAGCTCGGTGTTTCAACGGCTTGCCGTGTTCAGCGATGGCAAGGGGCTGCGCCGCGCCGGCCACGGCCTCGGAGGAGTGCTGCCTCAACTTCCCCAGACTCCCCCAGCCCTCCAAGCAACGAGCCCGCCTGAAGCCCTTGCCTGAGCTTCGCAATCTTCAGGGAGGCCCTGCCATAGAAGCCACGGGTGAGGAGCAGTAAAGGCCTAGAAAGACACGTGCCGCTTTGAAGACTGCGCATGGTCAGCAAGGGAGGGGTGTTGGCCGGAAGATTTGGGAAGCATGATCTGCAGTTCCGAGAAACGGAATCTCCGACAGAAGCGGCGCTACTTACCATGCGTAAGGCTGGTTAGCCTGGCTTGAGTTTTGGGCCTTTGCCGTGATCTTTCTTGAGTTCGTTCTGCAAACCGTCGTGTCGCCGTGCAAGGAGCTCCATGAGCAGACGCCGCCGGAGGAGGCGAAGAGCTTGCGGGCAGCGGAGGCTAAAGCAGATTTTCTAGGTTCTTGAACCCCGATTGAAGGCCCAGTGCGACGTCTGACCGAGGCCTGTCAATAGTTCGACAGCCAAGAGCTTCAATAGTGAGTCCTCGGAAGCCTCTCCTTTGTTTGGGAGCGAGTAGGGAGCATTTGGGAGCCTTGGGGCTCCTGCTTGGAAAACGCTGCCGTCGCCGCAGCGACCCCATGTAGCAACAAGATGGTCTCATGAAACTTTCCAAACGGTGAAGTACTGGCTTGCACCACTGAGGACTCACTTTGTGCATACACCCAAGTCTCCTGGCTTGATGTGACCCTGCAGATAGCTTTGATAGAGCTTCTTCGCCGCCCACAGTAGTTAGCGCGAGCGCGAGCTCGTTCGCTGAAGCTGCCAAAGAATGGTCCGCTCGCGCTCGCCACGGAAGCAGTGCTATGGCAACATTCGCTGGTACAACGGGAGGCGGCAGACGGGTCTGATCGATGCAGAGGATGGCAGAAAGGTCTTCATTCCAGTGGGTGGGGCCCTGAATCGGAACTGCGTCCCGGCCACACCTGGTGGTCTCATGCACGGCACCCGTGTGGTCTTTCGGATTGTCTCCTTTCTGGACCCAGACAAGCCCAAAGACAATGTCCAGCATGGCTGCACGGACGTTCGGCCCACGGACCCGGACCAAATTGGTTTAGAGTGCGGTGTGAACACAAGCATCGGCGGACGAGCGGTGAACGAAGACCGCCTGGTTTATTGTGATCTTTACGATCTCGGATTCTTAGCTGGAGTGTTCGATGGACATGGCGGGCAGCACTGCGTGGACTTCGTGAGGCAACGCCTTCCCGAGCTGATCCGCGAGAGCTGCGAGGCGTGAATTTGAGTCGTGTAGTTGTCCGGGGCCCCTCCTCTCGAGAACCGAGGCTACCTGGGTCTGGCGCAGCAGCTCGGAGGCATCAACGCCTTGACTCCCAGCGAGGACTGCGCGCCCTGACGGGTCGCTGGCCAACTTGCGTGTGCCTTCATGTCAGCTGCAGAGGAAGCTTTTGAGTCCGTCGAAGAGGAGCTTGGATCCAATCTGTCCACAGGAGGAGAAGCTGATCGAAGTCGCATGTCGCAACGCCTTCGTGCAGACGGACTTCGAGTACCTTCAAAAAGCACGCGACTTGCACCTTGCCTTCGTTCCAAGGGGCATGAACTTCTGCAGCACTGGAAGATAGGTCGTTTCAATCGAATCCGCTGTCATGCAGAAGGCACCAACACGTAGCTTTCATGTGGTGCAGCATGGAGTAACGTAGTATGTAGTACACACATTGCCCGCTCGTGCTTGTTTGACTCTTTTGGTCCGATGGTAAGCAGGCACTTGAACGATGGCTCCACGGGTCTGGTGGCACTCTTGGCCCATGGCTTTGAGGACGAAGGGCCGTCCACACGGTCCCTGGTTGAAGGCCGAAGAAGTTTCGCACTGGGAGGGTCGTCGGTCGGTCAGCTGCCGGTTTCAATGTGACCTTCCGAGTTGGGTCTACAAGCCTACGTCGTCTGCATGCTTTCGCAAGGGATGCTCTCGCCGCATGGAGTTGGGATCAGTGTTGACGAAGTTGCGGTGTCGAAGACCCAGGGCAGTCCAGATGAGAGGAAGCCCACCAAAAAACTGAAGGCTGCAAGCCCGGTGGCTGCACGAAACTCTTCGTGGCAAACTGCGGGGACTGCCGGGCCGTGCTTCTCCGTGGGCGCAAGGCGATCCGCTTGACCCAGGACGGCTCCGGGAAGTTCCCTATACTGTCAAGCCGAACTGCTTGCAGGATCACAAGCCCGAGCGACCCGACGAGACGGCCCGCATTCAGCAAGCTGGTGGCATCGTCATTTCTACGCCCTGCGGCACGCACCGGGTTGGCAAAAAGAACGGCCAATGGCTCCGTGCCGCATTGGTCTCACCAACTGCTCCCGTTGTTAACGTGTTGTAAAACAAGATCACCCGATTCATGTACTCCCGATGTTTTGACTCCTGCTGTTGTGTTGAGTGAGGTTTCTTTCCACCTCCCGATCCTTCGGAGACCTGGAGCTTAAGGAGCGACATGGACGCAGAAGACCGAACAAAGAAGGCTTTCTTTCAACCCTCTACCAGTACTCGGGCAAAGCCCTCAGCTCGAAGCACAGGAGCCTCGGCCTCTCGTCATCGCTGAGCCGGAGCTGATGGTCCACACGCTCGAGCCGGAGGACCGAGGGGGACACGAGTTCGGTTCGGGGAGGAAGAGCAGGAATTGGGAAGTGCGCGGATGTGATTGTAAATGGGGTTGGAAGATCTGGTTGTGGGGGCTTCAAGGACTGGGCTGTCGTCCTGGCTTCGGACGGCGTGTGGAACTGCCTTTCAGATCAAGACGTTTGGCAGGCAGTGTGGCAGGCGACTGGGTGGCCGCAACTAATGCGGTTAGTGCTGCTGCTACTCCTGTTGCTGCTCCTGCTCATCCTACGACGATTTCTACGAGCACTACGACGACGACAGCAGCAGCAGCAGGAACAACAAGAACAACAAGAACAACAGGAACAGCAGCAGCAACAACAGCAGCAGCAGCAACAGCAACAACAACAAAAACAACAGCAGCACCACCTCCGCCACCACCGCCACCGCCGCCACCACCGAAGTGCTGGGCCCGAGCCGTGTTGTGTGCCCGAGGCCTGTGTCTGTCCCTGTGTGTCTGTACACCCCGATTCTAAGCAAAGGGTCTTTGGTATTTTACAGTGATTGCAGCACGGGGCACAGGCCCATGGTGGTACCTGTGCCAACGAAGCTATCCACCATGGGGGAAGCGGAGTCTGATAAACTCCGTGTACCTGCATTTAAATTTAAACGTATGGCAACAGGCTAAGCCGAGAACCTGATCTGTGTGTGAAGCTGTGTACATGAAGGTGAGAACTCTGTCAGGTTGCATTGTGCAGCAGGCAACGCAGAGGTAGCTATTGCAGCTATTGGGCTTATCGTCGTTCTAGATGAAATCCGCAAGTCGCTTGCAAAAGAGCTCCGTGCTCTGTCGCTGGTTTTCCACGTGCGCACTGCACGGTCCGGTATGGCTGCAAGGTTCGCTACGAAACTACCCAAAAGAGGGGCCCCTCGTTCGAGCCTTCATGTCGAACATCGGCATCGGTGACATCACCTGATTACAGGTATCGCACCAGCCCCAAGAAAACTCAGCGATGCCAGGTGTTCCATGATCGCCGGGGATGACCAAGAGAACGAGGGGTCGTTTCCGAGGTAGTCATCGATTTCTCCAATGGCCGTTCGGCCAGCTTTCTTGTTCTTCTTGGCGGACTGGAAGTTGGGGTCGTACTTGATGCACCACAACCATGTCTGTAGAAAACGTTGAAGGCCAGCACGGCAGTCTTGACGTTTCTTGGTGAGGGCGTCAGCAAGGTCGTAATCGCTGGCCAACCATCGCAGTTCACCTGCGGCTCGCTCGAGGTTTCCACGAAGTTTGTCACAAGATGTACCCCAATTAGGAGAGATCACTCGCACTATCCGAAGCCCTGGCTTACAAGGAAAAGGGAGCGCTTTTCATGGTAGCGGAGCTTGCTCCGGCAGCTCCTGCTAGGCCCCTTTAGGTAACGGCCCGCAGTGCAAGGGCAAGGACGTTTCACCCGATAAGAGCCTTTTATCTTTCTGCTTTTTCTGCGGTGGCTGCAATTCGATTTGCCCACTGGCAACCACATCGAGGAGTGCGAGTTCTTTTTCTACTATCGTAAGCCCTCGCTTGGAGGCAGATCCGCAGCCCTTAAGGGCATCTTTTGGTGGAGTTTGGGAAGAGAGTTTTATTTGGCAGCTTGGCTGGTTTCAACTGACTGGGCGCTACAGTTCCTTTTGGGAAGTGAGGTTTCAACTTCACGTGTGGAGCACCGACATGGACGGAACGCAGCAACAGCAACAGCAAGGGCAGCAGCAGCAACAACAGCCGCAGCAGCAGGCCAATGGCGGGCAAGGGGGCCAGGGAGTCGGGCCGGAGATGCTCGATCGTCTGGTGAAGCAGCGCATGGAACAGGCCTTTGGGGCTGTGTTTGGAAAGCTGCTGGAAAGCAGCGAGAAGGCTGCCAAGGCAGCCCAGGACAATGTGGCAACACAGCGGGGCGAGAACCTCATGAAGGGGATCAAAGTTGACCAATGGAAGCCTGGAACCAGAGAGGAAGAGCTGAGGACCTGGCGTGAGTGGTGGTTCACCTTTAGCAACTACTTGGTGTCGAATGAGCCCCTTTATGAAGAGGACCTGCGGAACATTGACCAGGTCACCGAGGTGACCCACGACCTTCTTCCAGATGACATGGTGGGCCGCAGCCAGCGGCCAGCGGCTATACGGACTGTTGTGTTCATTGGTCCGTGGCCGCCCCCTCTTGCTTATCAAGAGCTGCGACAGCACAAAGTGTGGGTATGAAGCCATCCGGACGCTGCGGAATGAGATGGAGCCGCGGGAGAAGGCCAGATCCCTGGCTCTGCTTCGGAGCTTGGCTTCGTGGAGGTTCGACCCCCAGCAGGGCCTACATGAGCAGCTTGTGAAGTACGAGGAGCAGCTCAAAACATATGAGCTTTCGGCTTCGAAAACGTTCCCGGAGGACCTGGTCTTGGCGACGGTCCTCACGGGAATGAAGGAACCTCTTCGTTCCCAGCTGCAGTTGCGCATGACACCGGAGACGAAGTACAGTGAGATCCGGGAGTGGATTTTGCAGTGGGAGAGCCTCAACACACCATGGGGCAGCACGGGAAAAGGCGGCGGCAAAGATGATGGAGGCCAACGTCCCATGGATGTGGACCAGATCAAGGGCAAGAAGGGCAAGAAGGGGAAGGATGGAAAGGGAAAAGGAAAAGGCAAGGACCAGAAGGGCAAGGGCAAGAACCAGAAGGGCAAGGACGGCAAGCCGACCTATGACACCGGCAAGGGCAACCAGAACAAGCAATGGAGCTCCTGGGGAAATGCTTCCTGGGGGTCCGCTTGGGATCCAGAAGGCTGCCGCAT